CCTAGACTAGTAGAGGCTTGGCGTATTTTTAAGTTCTTACTTACAGAGGCCTACCTTTCAATATTCTACCCTAAAGGCCTAAATCTGTGTAGCAGCTAGCGGTGAACAAGGTTCCTATAGCCTACGGTTATCAGTCCATGTCGTTCTCAGCAGGCCAGAACTATACTAACTGTTTTAATTCAAGTATAGGTAGCCAAAAGGCATGGTTCTTGTTCTAGTCGAGACATCTGCATCTTCAATTTTGAAAGTTTACCAAGATTGATTAATATGCATGAAGTTAGCCAGTCACGTGATTTACAAAATCAGTCATGCATACGATATCCCACATCAAATTTTATGTGGGAAATCGTACGCATGAATCGTTTGCCCAGGCCCTAATTCGAAAAAAAAAAGAAATCGAGTATGGGACGCCAATTAAATTAGGTATGGCGCGCACTAAGTTCAATAAAGAGTGAGTAACCTAAAATTAGGGCCTGGAACCCAGGCTACATTGTTTAGAGCTGGAAGATCTGGATCTAGAAAATAATAGTTGATTTTAAATATTCTATTTTTAATAATACATAATTCAAAGAATTAACAAAATCTACATATTCTTGCTTTTTCAATTTGAGGACAAGTGATGTAACAACAAAATACATATATTGAATTGGTTATAACAACTTTCAATAACAATAACAATATCTATGATAATGAATAATAAATATAATTGAAATGATAATGTCCATGAAGGCGGTAATGACGATCACAATGGTGGTGACATACAGTAATAATAATCCTAATTATATTAACAATATTAATTATCTTCTTATTGTGTCCACTGCGTGGTGGTGGTTGAATTGGCACTAACTAGGCGGCGACGAGGACGCTTTTACCTTGACCCCATAATTATATTTTATCATAATTCAATATTGATTTATTAGTATAGCTTATATAATTTTATAGTTGATTGTTGTTGATCTGAGTTGAAGAAATGTTTTGGCGAGGTAGTATAAAGAATTAAATATATGTATATGAATAATGATCTATATAAATAAATATGTCGTTCTTATACAGCGCTTTATGCCTTTACAAGGTCTCTAAGCGCTTCACATTACTACCCCGGTCATTGGATCAAACACATATGGAACACATTGAAACACCAAATTAAATTATATTATCAATCCATAAATTGCAGCTAGTAATCAGCGCAGGTTGTGTTGGAACCTACCAGGTATCCACTTGTACTCCTGGGTGGAGAGAGGCAACCGTAGATAAAGTGCCTTGCCCAAGGGCACAAGCGATTTGCACAGCCAGAGTTTCGAACCCCGACCTCAAGGTTGGAGTCCAAGCCACAACCGGTGCGCCAACCACTCCTACGAAATAAATAAATAATTGTCTTAAAATATTAAGGCCGGTGTTACCAAGGAAATAAAGGAGGTATACCTTCTAGGTGTTATAATACTTACATATCTCAACTGCCAGTGGACTAGGTTTTCCAACCACTAACACACCATCAACCTCAGTAACAACCTTTACTGTAAAACTATATTCTGTGTTATAGTTCATTTGTGCCCGCGATATATTCATTTCCGTGTCCATTGTGGTATTTAAAACAACTGAATCACTGATGTGACTATCTGGCCAGAATTCCAGCTGGTAACTGTTGACGGTTCCACGGCCGTAATCATTGTCCAGACTCCAGATTGACCAACTAATCTCGACATTACAGGTATTTAGAAACATTCTCACATGTGGAGCATCACTCAGGACGGGAAGAACTGGATATAAATATGTTAAACATTATAAATACTAAAATATTGTACTTATGTTAAAAATAAATGTGATATGTCCATAGAGGTGTAAAACAAAATCACCATTTTCGTGACAAATGATATGCTTCTTGGCCAATGGCGGCGCCAGCGGTGGGGGGGGGGGGGCAGGGACCGAAAACAAAAATAGGCCTAGTTTTTCCATCTCAGCCATTTCCGGCCACCTAGAAGTCCCAATTTTTTAAAGTCAATAAACATAATAAAGGTGCCGTTAACAAAGACGAATTAGCCCATGAGCCATGTCACATTGTCTACCAACTACTTGAAGGAGCTATTTAGCATCCTTACATTTACTATATCAATGGTATAATTTCTGTCTAACCTTGCTGGCATCCTAATCCGGCCCATCCGTCTTCACAAACATTACCATATCATGGCAATTTCCATTATGTCGATCACATTTCGACGAGCTTCGGCAATGACATATTTTGGTGCATTGTGGGCCATAAAATCCATCAGGGCACTCAACATTCTGATCCCTCTCTGATAAGGTAAACCGAAATTCAACATACAATTAATTAAATAATTCATTCATTCATTTATTCATTCATTAGTAACGATAACGAGAATGATAACAAAAACAGCAACAACAACATCAACAGCAAGAAGTTATTCATAACTATAAAAATAATGACAATAATATCATGAAAAACAAAAGAGCAAACTTATTAAATTGATTTTTTTACAAACCTAGACAATGCGTTCCAGTGTAACCAGAAAGACAAGTGGCGCCTTCGTTACAACCCTCCGATGGCCTACATTCAGTACAGTTACAGTGACAATCAAGAAGGCATCCGGGTCCATACTTGCCAGTGTTTATTGCGTCGCATTCTAAGTCACATCAATGAGAATATATTTCCAAATTAAATTTTGAAATCACAAACATAATCTTCATGTATTTAAATATGATCTATTTAGATGCTTGTGTGATTTGTTCTATATAATAAAACGCCAATAGCAGGCTTTTCTTTATATATATTTTTTTCTTTTTGATGTTTTAGGATAATGAAGGGATAAGTGGATGGACAGAGGGTAACTAGGTAGATAGATGTATATGTAATTGGATAGATAGATAAAGCGGTGAATGGGATAGATGGTTGGATGGATTGATTGATGGATGGATGGATGGATTGATAAGTAAATGGATGAGTGGATTGATAGATAGGTGGGCGGATAGGTAGGATGATGGATAAATGTATAGCTGGATCGATGAATAGGTGGATAGTTGGAAGGCTGGAAAAATAGATAGCTAAATGGATGAAGGATGAATCGATGAATGAATGAGTGAATGGATGGATGCTTGTTTGTTTGATTTATTTATTTATTGAATATATAAACGTTTTTTTGCGTTTAAGCTGTTGTAATACTGTAATAAATAATATACTAATAATAAATGATGACGTAATTGATGACAATTCAAATAAATGCTGTAAAAGTTACTTCTGCTGCAATCAAGACCCTCGTATCCAGACATACACGAGCAACCGACAGGGTCAGGTGGACAAAAAAGTTAAATTTACACTTTTTAGAACCTCCACATACAATATTGCAATCACGTCCAAAATTATTATGACCACACGCTATGAAAAAAAAAAAAAAAAAAACAGCGTTAGAGTTTAAGATGTTTTCATTCAATGGCATAAACTGTCATATTAGGCTCACATTTTTATAGTATATTCAGTAACGTAAAGCCTTAAGATTATCACTGTGTACTTGAAATTCGATTAAGAATAACACGTAAAAATAGTTCGTTTATTGATAACATGCCATATGTTTTCTTAAACGCGAAACGGAAATAAAATATTGGTAGATTGATTACTAATCCCATTATAGCATACAGGGCAGTCAATTTTACAATCTGGAGGTAGACACTTCCCACGAGGACAATCTAATGCAATTGTTTGGAAAATAAACTAGTTACATGTATGTCTTTATTTGAACAAACACAAGGTATATTTACAAACAAATTCAATGCAAAATACACTGAATAGTAACATATACCACACCATCGCCACCCAGGGGTGGCGCCAAGTCACTGTGTAACAGTAATTGGTAATTTACATAAACGGTATGAGCCAAGTAGATGTGAAAAATCTCTATGAGGACGGTTAAAGTAATTTTCCACTCCACACATGACACCACCCCCCCCCCCCCCACAAAAAAAAAAAACGAAAAAAAAAACAAACAAACAAACACACGCACAAGAGCGGTGTACATCGATAGATATGGCAAGCCAGTTTTTGACACCCCAGTTATTGTGAAACTGTAGAAAAAGATGCTTAAACTGAAATTTACCTCTAACAATTACTTGTAATATAGCGTGTTGCCTTTGTTTCGTTGTCCTTTTGGATAACACTCGTAAATACCAGCGTCTTTTTTTCCGAACGTTTTCAAATTTCGCGGTGGTTAACCCTTCCCACTCTATGATATCGGATCCTCCATCTTTCTTCCATTGTAAGCTACTGACATTTGCTATCATGAGCCATCATTACCAGTTTAACTGTGTCGCCAATACTGGTTGTAATAGTTCGTTGCTCTGGTACAATGGTGCCTAGAAAAGAAACGAAAAAGCGAACATGGGATTATTTTTTCATTTGAGATCCCTTTAGTTTAGTGTAAAGTTAGCAGGAAAACTTTGCTTGGCAGTGACAGTACATATTATTTGATTGATATAGGAGATTTGTTGTTTTTATAAGGTTAAAAATTAAGACGGATTGCCTATGTCATAAATGTATGCATAGAGGATCGAGATTAACATTTACATTTAAAATACTGATTTCGTGTCTTTCTTTACAAATCAAAGTTTATTATTACATCCTTTAGTTCTTAACTAGCAATATTATGACCAATTAAAAAATATAAATTATGCAATTGTAGATATAATATACACACGGCGCACACCAACCTTCTTCCCCGTCACACACACACACACACACACCACCTCACCCCATCACACCTACCCACCCACCCATAGACACAGACACATACGCACCCCCCCCCCCCACACACACCTAACTAGTTTTACTTATTTGGCACCCGATTCTGCAATCAGTTAGTACATAATTAATTTTTAACTGGGGAGAAGTAATGCAATTGACTATCTGTTAACTTTCATCATTGGTCAATAACGATCTCCGTTAGCAACTAGTCACTTCCTTCTCCCCAGTACTAATTAAAGGACTCGAATGATGGTGTCCCTATTGCCCGAATAATGGGTTTCTAGTGCTTGAAACAAATCTTATTATCAAATAAATAAAATATTTGTATAAAATTAAAATATATTGTTAACTAGTTTATAAATATATACTGCTTTTCAATGTATTTTTAAATCATCAACAAACGGAAAATTGACTTTTGCTGGGCACAGCGATACATAGTATACGTACAGTATAGCATCATGTAGTATGAATGGTCGTGTTAAAATATAAAACTACAGTATACAGGTAGGCCTAGAATGCTAACTTCTCCAAAAACCTTCAACAACACAGTCAACAAGAAGGGTGTTTTGTCAAGCTCTATTCAGCCTACCTAGTTTAGGCCTCTACAGGTCAGTGGCCTAGGCGTACTAGGACAGAGTATTTACGAAACAGGACGGTAGAGGGACGACGACGGACTACCGATGTTCACTGATGCGTGAAATCCAGCCTGTCGTGCTCATTCTATTCTCGTGTACTGATCGAGGAATCGTCCCGACGATGATCGAGCGACCAGCAGCCTCGACAATATAAGTTAGTGAGAAGTCGTGAGTTTTTGTGATCGTTTACGTACGCAGTAATAGAGAGAGGGTTTAGTCGTCGTTAGTTCAATCACGGAGGAATAATTCAATTGAATTAATATCAGTTTGTTGATAGTTAGGCCTACACCTATGGCTAATTGGGTGAATATCTCATCATCATTCAGCCAGAGTACATGAAGCATATTGGCATGGTAAAAAATATCAGCATTAGTGGTTTTTTAAGAAACATTAATGTCTGATTTTTTTTTGTACCATACAAACTAGTCGACAGGAAGTTTTTACGCATCTGGTTTATATTGCAGCACTGTATTACAATGTGCATGCCAAATTTATAATAAATAAATAATATTTTTAGAAGTTTTAGAAGTGTTACTTGCAAAATATCTTTAATACTAATCAATGTTATTATAAGTTTTTTGTTTTAAAACCGTGTAGGCCTAATCCCATTCAATAGTAATACTTTTGGAGCAAATATGTGACCCAGATTTATAAAACAACTTGTGGGGATTAATATTGAAATATATAATGCACGAAATTTATAATACAGTATGAAAATGTGGCTGAATATATACAGGAACAACTATTTTAATGTATGGCTTTCTACAGTCTGGTGTAAAGTTAGTCTTATGAATTTGGTTATTTTGTAATAACCAAATTGTCTGCATGCTTTTAAACGTTCGCTGACCAATTTGGTATTGCAATTTAAAAGAAAACTCCGATTTTGTTGTTGTACACTATTATTTGTTTAGTATTTTGAAATATTTATATAGTTGAACTTGCCTATGTCGAATCCAAAATTCCATTGAGAAATTGTTTGACTTTAACAAAATTGACTTGCACTTACAGTAATGGAAAACAACAATTCGGCATGTAAAATTAGATTGACTTAGAAATTATGGCAAAGTCGTCTTAGGCAAGTTTAACTGATT